TATCGTTTGCACAAAATATACATAATTTTCATTAAGAAGTTAGAGAGTTGAAAGACTATCATAATAAGAAGTGTTCTGAAACAATGAATTTCAAGAGAAGCACTCAAGAGTATAATGAATGTGCCTATATCATAATTCATATCTGCCAAAATTGCTTCACGCAAATCATATAAAAGAATTTGCATGTAAGAGCAGATGCTCATTTTTAAATAAGCAGGAAATCAATTATAATACTTCAATTTCATATTATCCTCCTAATATATTTATATGCCTCATTTTCAACATTAAAGATTTATTAACTTGTCAAGGAACATTTGAACCTATGAAATTAATTTCTTTTTTCTATATATAGAAGATATTTCAACTAAAGTTGTTGCTTCTAACGAGGCCATTATTCTCCTTCTTTCTATCATCTATATATTTCTTGCTTTTCTTCGCTATGACATGGTTAACCTCAATTATTTTGATATCATCATTCTTCGTCTAATGAACTTTATCAAAATAAAGAGAGACAAAAAAAAGTCTATAACAGTTTTATAGTTTTTTTGTCATAATAGGATATATTTTGCTTATGAAAAGAAGAGTGACTCATGACCATAAAATTGAAAGTATTTTATGTCATGACCCGACCCGGCTAGCCCGATAAAAACGGGACGGGAACAGTCGGTCATACGGAAGAACATAATTAAACATAAACAATCTCATTATCTTTTAAAATGACAGAAATTAAACATCATCCAACATTAAATGAAAGAGCCACTAAACAACATCAAACTCAATTGTTCCAAATTATATATTCTTACACAACTACTAAAACATTAAACCACACATTACATAAACTCCAAATTACCATTCAGTACACAGATACAAACTCAAATATTACGAACTACATAGGAACAGAACAAAGACTCAAACAGAAACATAAAAGAGAGCCTTTCTTCCCCTACGACGATACGTGTACGGTCGTCGTGCAGCCATCACTTATCTCCTGAAAAATATTTCCAAAAGTAGGATGAGCCAACGCTCAGCAGGTAATTCATAGCTCATTAAATTTCATAAGATGCATATAATAAAAATTTTTATAATTGGTATTAATTCATTTCATTGAATAAGTCATAACATGTAATATTCATTTTCCTTTCTTTAACATTACATTCTTTCATTCTTTCCTTTCAACATTTTCATATGCAATATAAATGCAAAAATGCTTATGTTAAATGTATACACCCATCCCGGAAGTACCCTTATTCGTACTGATCAGGTACGCAGTCAAATTTTGGTCATTTCCTTTACTATTTGGCTCCGTAGAACCCCATTACCATTTGGCTTTGTAAGCCCCTTTACCATTACCATTTTGGCACTTCCGAATCAATATGCACATGAAATTATTATACATTTTAAATCTTATATGAGGTAAGTTGGTGTAAAGCATTAATTTTGCAGTACTTTGACATTTCAAAATTTTGGTGCAAAGCAGAAATTGGCACAATTAAAAAAAAGGTGATGCACTCTAATCCACAAGGCTCTTATTTTCCTGCAAAGTATATGCTGCAACCAAATCAATCGAATCTACTTTTCTCGTGTGTTCGATCACAAACCATTGTTTATTTTGGTTTTTTTGGGTTTGTTACTTCAATGGTGATTGCAACTGACATATCGATAACCACGAGAACATCCATGGTAGAGTGCTACCAATAACTGTTTGACATCCATAGTGGATTGCCAGCAATAATGCATCATTATTTGCACCTTAAAATGTTGGGTTCTTCTATATGCAACTTGATGAGCTTTCCTTCTAATTATGTCGTAGGAACTACCCAAGAAGCAATGATTTGGTTATCAACATTTGATGCATTAAAGATGTCCAGTAACTTCAAAATTTAGAAGTAGAGCATGAAGTAATACACCAAATTCAATAGTCCATGCCTAACAAAAGTTTGAAATTTTCCATTTTCAATTAAGTTAAAATGTTTAATGATTTAACACTTAATTGACTAATTATTTTGATTATGAATATTGTTCTTAGCTCAATTTAGATTATTCTTCATCTATAATAACTACTTTCACTTTGAGTACTTGTCAGTTGTGCATGCATATGGGCTGATTTTACTATTATTTAATTTAATATGAAATCGCTTGCACCAAATCTCAACATTTTGATTGTAACTATCTTCCTTTGATTGTACTTCATTAAAAAACAAATCTATTCAAACTTGCATTCTTACCAAGATTGCATCACCCCATTAAAGCTCCACTTTCTTCAAAATGAAAGACATATACAAGGACTAATATAGAAAAGGAATAAAAAGATGGATTATCAAAACTATCATCATGGTTACATGTCTTGTCTCACCCTCCTTATGATCCTTCATCCAAGTTTTAGCGTGCTTCTTTAGGTTTTCTTTAGATAGTGCATCGATATGAATATGCAAGCCTAAATTTAACATGTGGGTGAATGTGCATGTGAACTCTTATTCTACTTCTATACTCCATTCTTCTAAACAAAGTAATACACAATTCCATACCCTAAATAAAGCACCATGACTTCCATCTCCAACCATTCCTTATTTTTTTCATTAACATGTGGATTCATTAGGTGCATGTGCCTCCTCTCTACAACTGTTTTTTTAGGGAGATTCGAGTGAGTGACTGAGACGGTCCTAAATAACTCTTCTATTTTAGAGACAAGATTTTGAATAAAGCAAAACTAGGACATGGAGATTAGCAATGGGAGTAACATTGTTCTGACCAAGTAGTAAGTACACAGCATGTATAGGCTAACTTATCATCAACTTAGGTGGTTTGGGTATGAAGAACTAATAAGATTTTATTTATCCAGCTAAGTTTAGAATATTTCTGTAAAAGATTAAAAGTTAAAAAGAGATCAATTGATTAGATATAGACCAACTGTATGAAAATATTGTTTCGCTATTCTCCATGCATAATGTTGATTCTAAAAATTTTGTAGGTTCTTTTCGGACCAACAAACTCCTACTCCATGCAACCTGCAATAGTGCAATCCTTGAGATCTTGTTTCTGATAACAAACACAAAATTGGCAGTACCCTCCAAAAATCCTTAAAGTAACCATCTACTCTCTTCAATAACCTATTTTGATAGCAGTTTTTAGATAGCTACTTTGATCGTATTCTGCTGCTAGACGGAACATTTCAATCTTCACGCCTAATGAATCCAAAGTCTTCAATCACAAAAGGAAAATATAATGACAATGTACGGAAATGGGGAGATTATCAGTTTTGCAACAATCATAAACACGATCCATAAAAAAAAATTACTAATCCAAGCAGAGTGAAACAAAATGATACTTTTAGCCTTTTAGGCAATTATAGCAGCAAACTGTCATCTCAAAATGGTTCTATGCGGCATTAAATAACCAGCACAATCAACAACAATAGAAAAAAACAACACCATCAGAACTCCATTTCAAGCATCAAAAAGAAACCATATTCCTTTCCGAATAAAACAAAAACCTCAAGCAGTTTAGACAACCGAAAGAACCTCGACATTTCACCCACTCCAATCAACAACAGTAGAAATTTCTCGGTCACATAGTTTTTACTAAAAACGCATCAAACAATATTTTAAAAAAATGCATAACTACATATCGCCACCCAGAGGTTCTACCCATAATATCGGTTCAAAATAAAATCTAGGGCAACAAATGAGTCTCCAGCAAACGCCATTAGAGAGTAAACATCGGCAAAGAAAATTCCATAAAGAGCCAAAATTAGAAAAGAATGGTACAAAAGAAAAGGAGGAAAGAACTTGATCGGAACAAACCAACTACAAGCGATCCTCCTCCCTCGGAGCCCATCTTCAGGAAGTAACGCTCTATACACTTCGGAAGTTTTTCCTGCCTCTATGCACGACAGAGAAGGAGAGCAATAAAGGCTCAATGCCCTTTCATCCGAGAAGGGGAAGGATAAGCGAGGCAGTTGTGGAAGATATTGGGAGGAGAAGAATGGCGGTGACCGCCTTAGTGGGTTACGGGATTCGGGTAATTGCCGTATCCTTCTCTCAGCGAAGAAGGCGACGCACTTACCACGACCCAATTTTATTGGAAGATTAGAGGAGTGGGTAATGGCAGAAATGTAAATTATTTATGTGGATCAGTTCTTACCCACCTTCGGCTTATGCATGTCATTCGTGTTTTGAGTATGAATTAACGGATATGTTTAAGCTTTAGACGGTCCAGATGGAACGTGATTCATCTATAAATTATTTTTATATATTAAAAGATTTATACAAGGTCAACAAAGTTTTTACGTATTAATATATCTAATGCCCACAAAAATATTAAATTATTGTATTTATGTATATCACGACTAAATCATTAAGAATTTAACAATGAAAATGAAAATATATAAATATACTTTTGTTTTTTGTTAAAAAAAAAAGGAAAAATTTTTATTGTGATATTTGAGTTTTTGAGTGATATTAAATTTTGGACCACTCGGACTCCAACTTTTAACAAACTTGGAGTCGAGGTGAATATCTTCAAGCATATTCAAATTTAATATAGTCCTTCTAACCACTATTCTCTACAAGAAACTTGGCAATTTCCGGCATTTTCAAATTTGTCAAAAATTTGAATTTCAATCAGAATTCTCGCAGAATGAATGATTTCACTGGTAAAATGCAAGTCCGAAAATAGTTTCCTTCGGAAATATTTTTGACGAATTTTAGGGAGATTATCGATGGAAATTCAAAAAAATCTGAAGGAAATTCCATTGGAAAATTGTAACAAAAAAAATTTTAAAAAAAATTACATAATACATAAGCAGGAATTGAAGTATTGTGTCGTGGAATATTCGCAGCGATAAAGAAATATAAAGTTTAACTTCTTAGCTTTGTACGAAAATCTAGTATACAATAAGATAAAAGAGAGGGCGTGTTCATAAGAGACACAAATGTTTTTATGTATAAAACCCATAAATGGGAAAAATCATGGGGCCTAGCTCAGTTTAAATTAATCTGCTGGTATTTGCAGTTGATTAAAAATGAGGCCCTTCATTGGAGGGAAGGTCTTGGCTTGATGTAACAAATATAAATCATATATGATGCATTACATGGTGAAAATTGGAAGAATTAGTATTAATATGTTTGTTTGGTCGGCAGGATCATAGTCGACATGCGACGGAGGTCTGAAAAATTGCATTCATGTGACGATGATCGAAAAGACCGTAGTCGGAGGACAATGAAGGTCGGAAGGGCCATTGTCTAGTGACGAAGGTCAGAGTGAATGTACTCAACAGGTGACTGAGGTCGAAAAATACCATAGTCTGGTGAGAGAGGTCGAAAGGTCCATTATCAGGCAATGGAGGTCAGAAGGACCGTAGCTAAATAGGTCGGGTTTAACACGAAACTAGCACACCTTTAATTGACTCGATCCAATTAACTAAATATTCCACAAACCCATACTCAAAATCGACCCGCCTCTAGCTCGTTTTGACCATACTTGTCTCGACTTTTCAAGTTAACCTAAGCCCGACCCAAACTGCAATCTGTCAGAATATGAAACCTAATTCTGACCCATTTTTCAAAATGGGTTGATCCGAACATAAAATTTTCAAATGATATTCATGTCGGATTTTTCGGATCGTGTCAAATATTAACACACCTAAAAGTACATTCATGCATGAGTCAAGTACAAGTGATATTTTGATAAATTTAAATTTTCTGTGTATATTCCGATAAATTAAGTTCAAATGCAAACAAGATTTTACTAGCAAGCATATTCTAATACCTCTAACACCTCTATAAAGTTTATCTATGAAAGTACAAGTGATGACCCTAACATAAAGTACATTATGATAACTTGCAAATATGATGTGCAACTTCAAAGGTATATGTTATGTATAAAATGGTAATTTTTGAACTTATGAATCACCACTATATTGAATTGCATATGAAGTATTTTATGTTAGTACTTACTTTAAACTTGAAGTTTAACCTATTACCTGAATAACTCATTATATATAATTAAAATGGATATTGATATATGTGATGGAATGTGATAGAAATCTAATGAACTACCATTGTTCATTATGTAAATTTTATCTGATATTTCATGAACATAAAAAAGCATGATGGGTAGAGTTGTTAAGGAATTTTTATTAGGTTCGGACACCTGGTGTAGCTCTATATCCGGACGCTAATAAAATGTCACCATGTGCTCTTACTCTTTACCGCGTGGTCCGACGACCCGATCCGGATCAGAACTCAATATTGCTATGTATTAGCTAATTTGTACATATCAGGATATTACTAGGTTTTGCTCGGTAACGAGAAATACCATTTTGTCAAGACCAATACCTAGCAATACCCCGGTTTTGCTAGGTATTGCTCGGTATTCGTCTTGACATAGCGGTATTTCTCGTTATTGTCAAGCAATACCTAGTTATACCGAGCAATACCTAGCAATACCGAGCAATACCGGGTTTCCGTTCTGGGTTGGGTCGTCGAGCCGCGCGGTAAAGAGTAAGAGCACGTGGCGACATTTTATTGGCGTCCGGATGTAGAGCTACGTCTGGTGTCCAGACCTAATAAAAATTTGTTGTTAAGGGTAGGAATATCTGAATTTTGTAATCCAATTATTTATTTTTGTGATGTATAGTCTTTTTAGGAACGGAATTATTGTATATGACTTTTTGAAAAATAAAACTTGAATGAACCTTTAGACTATTAATGTTATTTTAGATTACTTAATCGACTATGAGTTTATTCTATATTGTTGTTGAGAAAAAATAATAAATTAGATTTAGGGATTCAGTCTTTACCTTAGATCCCGAGGCATGACACCACCACAAAAAAAATTAAGAAAGCAACAAAAAACAGTTACTAAATAGAACTATAATTACAATTTAAAATATAAAGCTCCCAGAAGGATGTCCTAAAGAGATCCTAAGAGAGTTCTCAAGTTCACAATACATATACTATATATTTTTAAACAAAAATTAAATTACCTTTTTATAATGTGCATGACATTATTTTTGTATTAAAAATATTTAATTTATTTATTTATTTTACCCTGAAATATTAAATATAGATTTTATATCATTTGAATATTATTTTAATAAATTTAATATTTATAATCATATCTGATTCAATTTTGATTGAATCAATGAATCTTAAACATCTTAAAAAATTAATAAACCTCATAGATGATCCGACAACAAATCAGTTTTAGGTTTCATTTGAGACGATTTTCTTATTACTTCTTAAAACAATTTTTTTGAAAAAAAAAATGTAATTTATGTATTAAAAATCTACTTTAAGAAATAAAAAAACCGTCTCAAATTGGGATGGCTTTCTTGCTGCTTTTTAAAACAACTTCTAATACAAAAATTAAAAATTTTGTATAAAAAAGATGTTTGAAGAAGCAGTAAGAAAGTTATCCCAAACGAAATCTTAGTCTTAGCAAATCATAATCCAATGTGTGGTTGCAATCCTTCTTCACCACAAGAGCGTTGAAATATGCCTGCAAGAAACTTTCCTATTGAAGCATGTTAAACACAACGAGTGCAGATAACATCTACAAATTTGATGAGCATTACGAAATACATCACTCACTGAAGTCAGGTCATTTGTATAATACACACCATGTATACAAGCCACATGGTCTGTACACATTGGAATTTAGATGTGAGCTACGTCCAAACTCCGCATATAATAATTTCTCGATACAAAGAGATTGCCTTTATAAGTTGTCAACAAACTCGCTAAGTTCTCAAAAATACACATACAACTATCACATACATAAAAATTGAGTAAAATTAGAATTTCATTTTAATACCGCATATTCAATACTTTTCAAAAATTCTAGGGGCCTTGTTTATATCCCATGAAATGCCCAAAATATTTTTTTTTTCAAAATTCAATGAAAAACTACAAGTTCTAATTCTCTACAAACTTAAACAGTATGAATATCATAATTTGCAAACAAATTCATCAAACAAAAAAAGAAAAGAAAAATTAAGAGACGACAAACTTGTTGATAACAAGGAAATTAGTGATCCATGATTGTAGCAAATCATCAATTTGCCTCATGAATCTTCCGGGACGGTAACAAAATAGTGGTTATAATGCAGCTCACATTAGCCTAATGGTTGGGTGCTCCAGCCATAAAGATCTTGAGTTCAAAGTCTGACACATGCGAGCAGGTGCGTGTATTTGCGATTAAATTTGCTCCAAAAATTTTTCTTTTGAGCAATTAGATGCAGCACCCAAACACACAAACAACACATACACGAGACTCGACCCAAAACCTTTTAGTTATGTGCCAAACTCCCAACCAACAAACTAAGAAAAGCTGCATAATTTGCTCAAATTTTCAAACAAAAAAAAATAGCTGTGAGAATTCTGGAAGGTAAAATTAACAGCCGAATTTCAAGACTTTTACTTTTGAAACTAATCCATAAATCTTTAACCCATATCTCAAAATATTATATTTACTTGATTCATAAAAATGCAAAAGGAATTTGAAACTTATGGTCACTGGACATTCAATTCTATTTGCAGCAGTGAGACAAGCACCTGCATGTAATGCATGCCAGTTTCGAGCAAAAACAGGATATGTTATGTTGCCTAATATAAAAGTTGTACCAATAGACATGTGAAACTTAAGGTTGGTGAACAAGAGATTATTTTGAGCGGATGCTGAACGTAGCTCTACATCCGGATATCAATCAGAATGAGCCATGTTACTGAGCAGTGGAACCGACGCTCAGTACCACGGTACCAAGCCACGGGCTTAGACATCCAGACGAATTCCGCTTCCGCACAGAATAATTATTCCGGTGAAAATTTCAATTCTATTTGCAGTAACGTGATAAGCACCAACCTGTAGTGCTTGTCATTTTCAAGCACTTAAAGGTTTATGTTACCGCAAGATAAAACCTGAGAGCAAGTAATGAATTGACAGCAGTGATGTGGATGTGGATGTGGATGTGGATGTTCATCCTAATCAGAAAAATAAATGTGTTATCCAATTCTTTTGCTAATAATAATGTTAACGCATACTGTGCAAAGCAACTTCATTTTGGCAAATTCGAGGAAAAAAATTAATGTATAGAAAAAAATAGGGAAAAGGATCAAAATGATGCTTTTTCTTGAACAAAATAAAAGAATTGATAATATAACACAGTAATTTCAGATAGAGGGGCTATTCAGTAGCAAGATTGAGGCTGGATTTGACGTGGATTTGAACGAAATCCAGCCAAACGGCCTAAAATGCAAAACCAAATCTCACGGCAAATGAAAGTCGCCGTAGATGAAAAATTCGGCATTTTCGTACTAAATCCCAGATTTTCGAAATCTTGTTTTTTGCCAAACTTACGAAATCCATTGGCTCTAAAGGAAGAGACCGCTCATTAAATCCGCTCTATAACCAAACAGCCACACGGGATTTAATAAGATTTATCATGAAAGTTACCAAACAGTTTTCAGGATTTCTGAAATTCGGATTTAGAGGATATACGAAATCCTACTTAAATCAAATCTTAGGTGCTACCAAACAACCCCAAAAAATATATTGACAGATAAATATGAACTACTGAGATATAGATTCCTTTAAAATAAATTGTTAAGAATAGTCAGGGCATTAAAATCACACAAAAAATAAACAAATTTAGAAAATAAAACCACATGATTGATGTTTAATTTTTGTTTCTTTATTGTGGCAATCAATAGCTTTTTGCGAGTGAAGACAGCTGCGCTGCAAAATTGTTAGTGCTCACATATGCTCATCTAAATCATAACTAGTTCAAAGGAGAAGGCGAATTTGAAGAATGATATAAGTTGCATTTATTGTGACAGGGAATTACATATTCTAATCAAAGAAATCACATGAAATCTCTAAAGACTCACATTGTTGGGAACATGATCCAATGAGCATGACTTTTTATCATAATAATTCAAAGGAAGTTCATGATCTAGGATTTACGAGATAGAGTTAAATAGCTTACCGAATAACAATAGAAAAGGTGAGATTAAGGGTTTATTTGGGGCGGCAACAGCTTTTTAAGAAAGACAATAGTGAAATAATTACAAATAAATTTTTTGAAAGTTTCTGTGAACACCATATATAAGTTCTTTTTGAAAAATCACACAACAAATTTCTTATGGCTCCTACATTTTAGTAGATATCATTTCAAAAAGTAGCTCCCCTCAATAAAAATACCGTAACTTTATGTGAGAAAGATAAAAGTGAGAAAACAGTAATCAAATGAAAGTGTGATTACAGTATAGAAAGCAAAGCAATCATAAAACTGCACCAAACAGGTCCAAAGTCCACAGGAGATACTGAAATAGAGCATGAAATTTTTGTTTGTGCCAACAAACTTGTGCTTCAATACTCAATTTTTCAGAAAAAAAATAAAACAAAAAAGATAATCTAGAAAAGAAAATTTTACTACATTTTGCAGGTCAGAAAAAGGGTGCCAAGAAAGCAGAAACAAAGAATTGATATCCTAAAACTATTTGCTAAAAAGAATTCAGTTATATATCTTTCAAGTTTTTTGATTTGGAATTCATGGCTAATACACATCACCACTCATGATATTTCATTCCTGGTTCAATTCTAAGTATGCCGATAAAAGCAAAATTATATACAGGCAATTACAATTCCTTCTTATGGCATTATGCCACTGTAGCAGACTTTCGATTGCGGATCAAACTTGAAAGTCGCCTCACTAATCTATCCAAGGCTTCTCTCATCCATGGATGTTTACATCCTTCCCTTGCTTCTTCCACAGAGACCTAATGCATGACCATAGAGAGTGCTAAAACATAAGACAATAGAAGAGAGTAGCAAGGAATTGAACACTAAAGAAGAACAAGTTGCAGATCCAATGTTAATTAATACATAAACTGACCCATTTGCGCTGCCTAGCACTCATCTCAGGCCAATGGACTAGTTCCTCGGTTACTTTCAGTGGAAACATTACACTCTCATTTATGGCCTGTGTACTGCTTTTGTACTTCCATTTACCGAGTCTTCGCTGAAATTGCCATTAGAAGAATTTTAGAAGGATATTCATACTGTACAAGTGGATGTAATGCATGAAAGGATAAACAAGGATTTGATGCAAACCTCTACATTTCCTTGCACACCAGCTTCCTCTAAAGCTTCTCGCGAGGCTGCTTGTTTCACTGTCTCGTCACTTTCCCACCCACCCTACCAATTTCACAAAGCTTTGAAGTTCATACCCAATAGTAGCTTTTCATGAAGAATTTTCAGAATTTAGAAGCAATTTTTTTGGCAAAGAATCTTATTTGACTTAAGTTTTTCCTCTCTCTTTTTTGTTGCGGGTGTTAAAGTGTGTGAGTTAGAAGTTTGAAAGTAATCAAATTGGTGTTGAGGAAAGTCCTTCATTGAATCAAAAGATCTCTTTGCTGAGAATGTGAAGGAAAGAAATCATCATCATTAGCATCACCTAAACAACTTGGGATTGAAAATCTCTTTCTTTCGATCATTTCTAATGACTAATGAACGAGGCATTGAATTTTTTTGTTGAAAAACTTTTTCCACAACGCTTTTTCCTTCCAAACTATCCAATGTATCTTCTATCTTACATAATAAATGACCAAATCATCTAAATCAAAATTTCCAGTATTTTATTATATTCAATACGGCCTATTCCAACCATCTCTTTATATATTCATTTCTTAATTAATCTTTCAATTATCACACATCATATTTTAATATTCTAAATTTAGTCACACATAATTGTTTTATAGCCAACATTCAGATTCATAAGCTATAGCTGGTCAATTACATCATAAGAAATCTAACTTGAAGCATTATTATATTACTCTTTCTTGCTATTATGTACAATACATAAAAATAATTGAACTAAATAAGATTGTATTAATTTGAATAACATAATCAACAAGTTACTTCCACTTCATTTCCTTTCTCAATCTTTGACAGGACCCAAATTAAGCAATGCTAGAATTATCTTAAATCGAGGTATTTTTTGAAGGATAAATACATGCTTTTCAGAAATCACCATCTAAAATTTGTTATTTAAGTTAAACGTAAATTACCAAAGCCATGAGGACAGCATATAACATGCAAGCGACAACAAAATATGAAGCAAATCTTACTCCTAAAACTTTTGTAACAGAAAAATCACACCCTTTTTTTTTAGAAAAATAAGAAGTTTTGATAAAATCATTCGGGATGTAGCAAAGTGAAGGAAATGAACGATCCTAAGGCAAGTTTTGACTTGATTATCCATATATAGCCATTAATTTCAGATTGTTAACCTCTTCATATTTCATGAGTTTTTATGGCAAAGATGATCATCTCATATGGTTCGAGGCAACTCTATTTCAAGGAGTGCTGCTTACTAGGGCTTTTAAGAGAAACTTCACACTACAGGAAATTTGTTGTTTACCGGCGGTTAAACCGTTGGTTTAACTGCCGGTTTTTAATAATAAACGGCTGGAAATGCCGGCAGTAAACTGACCGCCGGATATACCGCATGTTTTTTCTTTAAGCGCCGACTATTACCGGCGGTTTGACCGCCGGAAAAATACCGGAAATTGCCCTAAAATTGGCTGCAGGTAATTAGCGATTTTCCAGTAGTATCAAGTCAATTTGGGGAAGTCTTTTCACAGCTTTTCTTCTCAGTTAGATTTCACATTTTTATTTTGCTACAATTTTTTACTATTCTGTAGAAGCATTTATGAGCATAATTTTTTACCATCACATCTGTTAGAATGTACTAGTTATAAGAAAATTCCCAACTGAATTTGTTGAAGATATTTATTACAATTTACAACTGTTCTATAACCACTTTTCAAAAAATCAGTTCTTTACATTATAGTTATACGACTATTTTTACAGATAATTGCAGCAATCCAAAAGAGACCCCTTAATCGAATAAAAAAAAATCCAAATTAGGTTCAGATTGACGAGCATTTTGCCTGAAAGATAAATTTGGTTTACATTCTCATCAAAAGACATAATCCTTGCCATTCAACTATCATTTCGTTTCATTTTCTCCGAAGCAAAAACTAATTTATTCCTAATTTAAGAGAACATTTTATACCTTAGGAAACATCATTCCGTATCCCTTCTGAGAACTGATCACAAGAACCTCCAAAGAATGAAGCAGATCATTACTCGAGCAGTTCACGTCAAATTTATACGGAATGCATCTGCATCAAGAGAGACAACAATAAAAAACATAAGCATTTTTCAAAGAAATTGATCAACCGTTCAGAAATCCCATCCGTTCAATCTTGAACACAAACTAAAGGAGAAAATGGGAAAGTAATTTTAAGCCACGCAAGCAACTTTCCATCAAATCAACTAATAAAAACCAAACCCCATTTCCAAAAACCCATTAAAATCAGAAATCGGTAAATGAGAAGAAGAAGAAATCGTGGCTACAGTAGAAGATGGGTAAATATTCACAAAACGAACCCGACAACAAGCCGGCCTCCGGTGCTGCTATATCGCTGAAGCTGTCTTCCCTGCCGAGCAGCCAGAGTAACCATCTTTCTCAAATCCTCTCTCTCTCTCTCTATTCCCCCTGCGACGTTCTCCTCAGATTACCCTATTCGTCAGAAGAGATCGAGGAGATACCCAAATTGCCCCTCTGCAACCGCCACCGGAGTGCTGCTCTGCTGAAGTACGAATGTGGTTCTCCACATCAAAACAGCGAGGGTGGGCTTTAATTTTATAGAGAAAAGGATGTGATTTGACACTTGACGGGAGGTGGCGAGAGAATAAAGATGGTTGAGGGGTGTTTTGGTCAGTAAGTGGATCTGGTCCCACTTGTCGATGTGGCGGCGCGCGTGTGGTAGACTTCAATGTCCTTCAGATCGCCGAGACAGGGCATCGAGTGGTTGGTGACGTTACCGCCCACAGTTAGCGCCGTAATTTCTTGGGTGGTCGTACTCGTAGTCGTAATTCGTAAATGTTGAGCGGTGACATCACCTCACACCATAGGCTAGAATACTAGATTATAGGCAAAAATTTAATGTATTTAGATACATAATACAAAATTCTAAAATTTTAACCTATTTAATTTTTAATAGGTAAAATATTTATCTAAATAATATAATTCCTATCAATATTTATTATAAATAAAAAGTAATAGCTAAGGCGAAATTTTGAGAAGGAATATGCTTTAAAAATCATTTGAGAAAATGAGCATAATAGTAAATAATTTTAAAAATGAGCATACCTGTGTACAAGAATTGTGTTTTTAAAGAAAACGCAAAGCAGGTGTGCGTTTTCTAAGAAAATGCGATCCTCCATCACGTTTTCCTCTGAAAACGTGATACTTCACTGCATTTTCAAAGAAAATGAGATCCTCAATCGTGTTTTCCTCATAAAACTTGACTTCACTGCATTTTTAAAGAAATGCGATCCTCAATCTCGTTTTCCTCATAAAACGTGACTTCACTGTATTTTCAATGCAAACTCGAACATCCATTGCGTTTTATTTGCATTTTCATGCCATTGATTCAAGTGGTGTTGAAAATATCACAAATATGATTTAAATTTGATTAATAATACATAATTAATTCAAAATCTATTCTCAAATATTTAATATCTCCATTTTTTTTAATTATGCTAAACATGATTTTAAACTTGTAAAAATTATATTATATATAAATATAACTTATACCAAATTAATTCACTTTTAATATAAATATTACATGGTGTAATTTTTCCTTAACTTCTACATAAATAAAAAATATATATATTTTTATATATTTATTAACCTTATTTAAATTATATGCTTTCAATTATTACTAATTTAATTTATTCGTAAACTAATAGTTTAAGGCTTCGTTTGATTCGGTTTCTGATTACATAAAAAGGAGTTTTAGAAAAGAAGGTTATAGAAAAGCCGTTCAATAAAATGGAGTTTCAATAATGAGATATGTTTGACTAATATTTTTAAAAGTGCTTATTAATACTTGAAAGTAATTTTAAATTGTTTGTTTAGGAGTTCTGATTTTAAGATTTTATTATAAAAGACATAATTCGCTTCCGAAACTCCGTTTTGTGACCGAAGAAGCAGATACGAAAA